CATTGACATTTTATTAAAGAAAAACTAGACAGTAGTCTAGTAAGTGTTGACCATGTATCATCAAAGGATCAACTTGCAGATTTCCTTACTAAAGGATTGGACATTTCTGTCTTTCTCCGTATGATTGACAAGCTGGGAATGACGGATCCATATTTCCCAGCTTGAGGGGGAGTGTTGAAATCCAGCTGTCGAAATCCAGCCGTTCCCAAGGATCCAACGGACACAAAGATCAATCCGTGGGATACTCTCATGGATCACGCCATAATGAGGGGACGAATTTAGGAAAGATTTTTATGTATTATTTATGTATTAATTCTGCAATTTATTATTTCCTCATTAGGATATCTTGTATAGATCTATAAATAGGGAAGATTGTAATGAATAATTTCAAGCTTTTCCTCTCAAATTCTCTGTTTTAACAGTGGTAAATATAAATTTTAATGAAATTTTGAAAAGACATAACTGTGAAGTTAACTGTATGAATTCTAATGATAATGCAAGTGTTTCATAGTGGTAACAAAAATGATCACACAACATGGCTAGCTTTTGATCCAATGTATGATTGTGAGAAGCAGAAGTTTAAAGTAGGAATGTTATTCATTAGAAAAGAAGAATTTAAAGAGGCTGTTCAGAACTAGTCAATTGTTAGTGGAAAAGAAATAAAGTTATAAAAAAATGACAAAATAATATGTAGAGTTATTTGCGGGAGGCTTAACTGTCATTTTCTTCTCTATAATGCCAGGGGCACAGTATAACATTGACTTATATTCCATGTCATCTAGTTATAGAATATGGGAATTAAATAACTTGCCCTATCTTCATGCATGTGCTACTATCAATATGAGGGAACTTCTTCATGAGGATTTTATATACAACTAATATACCGTGGACAATTATAGGAAAACTTCTTAACTCAAAATTATGCTTATTAATAGTCCTGATGAGTGGCCTAAAAGTAAAATAACATCTTCATTATCACAAAGATACAATAATTCTAAGAAGGCCACCCATCAAAGATGAGAAGAAGAGGTACAAATGAACAAGTATATAACTCATAAAGAAAAAGTTTAAGTAGGTCAACTGTAACCCTTCATTGTATTAAATGTAAACATGGTGGTCACAATAGTAGAAGTTGCAGCAAAAAAAAAAGGAAAAAAAAAAAAAAGAAACTCATCATACTCAAACACTTCAAACAGAGGTTGACCTACAATGCAACATAATAGCATAGGATGATTTACATCTTCAAGAATTAAATCCAGACAACATAGATGACTTAGTAAGTGAAGTTATGACACATTGATGTTTGATTTAAAATATTGAAAAATGAACAAACATTTTCTTTTTATTTTATTTCTTCGATCTAGTCGGCATATCAATATTGTACCTCACAAATAAGACCAATGCTAAATGTGTGCACACAACGATCATCAAACAAAGGGCTGGTGTTAAGTTAGCAAATAAATTTTAATTAATATCTGTCCAATTCAATTTCTATAACTACTAATTTGATATTATATTTGTTAATAGGTCTATGCATCAAAAAGAAAGAAGACCAAGTAGATGAAGCTTGGAGGATAACATACAAAATGAAGTTTTTTGTATTAGATTGTGTTTACACATTTTTAAAGACATCATCGAGGACTTCTTTTGTAATATATTTTTTAAGTATTATAGTGAATGATACTATTTTTTTAAATGGCTTTTAAGTTCCAATCATCCAATTACAACTCTTGAGTTGGGGTTTAATAATGAGTATTTTTTTTTCTGTATCATCATTCCTACTTTTGTTTTCATTCAAACTTCAACTTAGTGTTTGTTCTGCATCTTCAATTTATTTGAGATTGCTTTGGCTTTTTAATGAATGTTTGACAATAACGTGTTATATTTTTTTATTACATCTATAATTTAGTTGTTATTTTATGAATGCTAATCCAACACTCAACATTCAGATTAAAGAAAGTCTTCAGTTTGAAAGAACAAATTTTGTGCCAAAATCATGTGTCAAAACCGCAATAAAATTAATGATTATGTGATTTATAGCGCCTAATGTTTCTCTTGTTTCAATGTTGAGAAAGTGGGAAAATCAAAGAGTCATAGATTGAAATTGATATTCAGAATGATTTAACATATGTTGAAGAACCTGAAAGAATATTAGAAAGGGATGTTCGTAAACTAAGAAGCAGAATAATTCCTTATTTGAAAGTAAAATGGAAGCATAGGTCAGTGAAGGATGCTACATGGGGAAAAAAAGGCAGACACGAGACATAAATTTCCTCTCCTATTTGAAGATGTATGAAAAAATGAATTTTAGGTACGAAATTCTAACGAGGGAAGATTTGTAAGACCCAAATTTTCAGATACGTAAGTATATCCTAAAACTTATTTTAAAGTTAATGTTAACTGTTGTTAAATTAAATAGTAACAATTAATTTATTGATTAATAAAAATGGTTAAATAAAGATTTAAAATTATATTAGATTAGTAGTTATTCTTGAATAGGTGCTTTCAAACAGATGGGTGTAAAAAGAGCAGTTATGTGCGGGCCCCATCTAGTTCTCTTGTGCAGAATTCACAGAAGATAAAAATTTCCGAAAGTAGGTCTTTGCGGGACCGTAGAGAATTTGACACAGTGCAAGAATTACTGTAGCAGTGTTCGACACAGTGAAGGGAAGAAGAAATCGGCACAATGCTTCTGTGGGTTTTCGACATAGTGTTTTCGTACACTATAGAAGGGAGCGGCATAGTGGGATTTCTGTGAAGGATTGGCAAGCATACAGGCGACACAGTGAATCGCTGAAGGAAGAGTTCAGCTGTGCAGGAAGGTTTTGTAAGGAAAACTGAGATTGTTTGGCATTGTGGGTGAGAGTAGTAGCTATGAGAAAAGATTTATTAAGGAAGAACAGGGGGAAGTGCTGAATGCAAATAGAAGATCAAAGAACGATACAAATTGGGTAAGTAAAATTGTGTTTAATTTTAGCATAATTAGCAAGGAATTGTTTGGATATATTATTAATATCTGCTGATTACCACAACAAGATTTGAGAGTGGAATTGCAGTAAAGAAATTCTATTAAAATAGAAGAAAAGAAAATTGAAGAAAGGAACGAATTGACGTAAGCAAGTTAGTTTTCTTTAATTGGTTTATAACATTTTAAATGGTAGTGAAAGTTCTTAAAGAAGATGTCACAAATTGTAGGAATTATTTTGATATATGCAAAAGGGAGGTTTTGAGGTAATATATTACATTCAAAATAATTTAATGTTATGCAAAAATTAATTAAGCAATAGATTATAGAATTTATGCAATGTAAAAAATGACTTGTAGGTTACTTACAATCGAAGAAAAATACGTGGTGAAATAATTGAGGAGATAAATCTTCAAGGAGTTAAGTAATGCAATTATATTAAAAATATATACATTGTTTCATTTACAAACATGGAGAATTGATTTTGAATTCATTAAAGGCTAAAATGATATTAAGTTTATTCAATGTATAGAAAGGGAGTATGCATACAAGTTTCTATGTATGAATAATCTTTTACATAATTTAATCATATGAGTTTAAAATAAAATTTAGTATGTTCATTTAAAGATTTTCTATTTGATAATATTTTGGAAAAAGATCAATTTCTTTACATATTATATGCACAATTTTTGCATGCAAATAGTATAACAGAAAGATCGTTATAAAAACATGCAACAATACAAAGTAACTATGAATTACAAGTATTAGAAATTTACTGAATATTAAATTAGAAAATATTGATTATAAAATGACATGTTACCTGCAATTGGAGGTGGGGCAAAAGAAACCTAAAAAATATATACATATATTACAAGTGGGGTAAAAGAAATCCCAGAAATATGATACCTGCATAGTAAGTGGGGCAAAATGGATCTCTATGTAGTACAATGGTGATAATGTTAGGTTTAAGTAGGCTTCATTAAACATTTTTTATGAAAATTTAGCCAAATCTTTAAAGATTAACATTGACTTTAAATTAATGAAAGAATGACTTATATTATTTTTGCTATTTCTAAATTAATTGAATTATATTTTTATTTATAATTTTACATTTAATTTTTATGTAAATTGAATAACTTAGTGAGCCTCATAGCTCACAATTTCTTTTCATACTGGTTATTATTACAGGAAAATGAAAGGAAAGGCCAAAGAAGAATAAGTTTAAGTTAATTCATTTTATATTCTATTGTTTAGCTTTGTTTGTGGGTCTACAGCTGAGGTATGTATACAATTCGGTGGTGTATTATTTTGGATTTTATTAGTGTTTGTGACTCTGTAAGTATTTGTTTGGTAATTGGAGTTATTATATGCTTCCGTTTATGTAGTAAATGTAAATGTTAGTAGATGTTTTATATAAATATTCATATGATAAAAAACATCATGGGTTAAGAATGAAAATATTATGTTTAATTCTGTGTCACTTTACAATATTGATAAGGGATATTGTGGGATGTTACAATGATAGTAAGGAAATTAAATTCATGAAAAAAATCTCTCCAAAATCATCCATAAATCCAGTAAGTCCGTACTTAAGAACTAATCCATTCCAGGTGCAAGGAAGGCCCATAAAAGACCTAATAAAACCTTGTATCATGACAATATTATTGAAATATTTAAGATCCCTCAAGATTCCGTTGGCAAGGCTTTCACGCAATACAAATACTTCTATCATGCAATTTTTTTTATGCATGAATGATTAAACAATGAAGGCATGCACTTGTGGCATGCAAGATTTAACACAGCTAGGATAAGTCTAGATAAATCAGCTCATTGGCCATTATACTAAAAATTTGAGTGCAAAAAACACATTATAAATCCAATGGCGTGTGTTGAAGAATGTGTAGAACTGAACATGCTTTTTTTCTGTTTTTGCAATTGATACAACAAAAGACAAGCAAGCTTCCAATGCAGACTGCATGCACTCGGAAAGGAAATAAATAACTACAGTGGAAGGGAAAAGAAAATTTGAGTGTACCAAAGGCCATAAGAGGGGTAAATATTCCGTTTGCAAAGCAGAACTTTACCATCATGCTCCACCAGGCAACCAACAACCTAGAAAAGTTGTCCTTGTCAGCGTAACACATGGCAACAGTACAAGTTTTAGTTGTAAAGGATGACAAGAAAAAAACAAATTTTCATATAAAATATATTAATATAGAGTTAACAATCTTTCGCCCTAAATAGAAAAAAAGAAAATACAAGTTGGCATAGGTCTCTCGTTAAAGCAAGCCCAACAGTAGGTAAACAGTAGAAGCTAAATGATATGACATCCTTGTATAATGAGAAGGCATTGATGACCAAATTTATTTAAAACATGGGTAATAAACAGTAAATGAGAGGGATCAAACATATTTATGAGTGTGACCAAGGTGAACTTGAAGGTTGCCATACATTTCCATATGTAGAAATGGGCTGAAAAATTGTATCTCGACCCAAAATAAAAGTTGATTCTAGTCAATCCTGCTCTCCCAAAAATACTTTGATATTAGATCAACTCAAAAATGAATTCTAGTCATCAAAAGATGATTTTGATTTAAATATATACAAAAATATGTATGTACATATTATATTAATATCTAACCATCTGGACTTGAGCAAATTATGCTCAACCAGCTCTTGTAGGACAGAAAAAATGTTCTTAAGCAGTGCACAGGCATCAAGTAGAATTTGTCAATCAACAATAACACTATATTCCTAATTTAAAGCTCCTATGGGCACAATTCCCCATGATTCCATCATCAAAAGCTATAAACCATGGCTAGAAAACATGCCAAGGAGGCCTCTTAGATGGCATGCATGTCTTAGAGGCTTGCAAAAACATGGGGCCATGAAGATTTTTTTATTGGTTTTTGGAACCATATAGATAAGTGGCTCAAGAATTATTCTTGGTATGGCCACTTCATTAAAAGGCGACTATTAGATCCTTATTTCCCCTTAGGCTCTAAGCAAGGACAACCTAATCACATTGATGCAACATAGGATCCCTTGTGATCCTTGGTTTCTTGACTTTACCGTCGTTGGCAAGTCTTATAAAAAAGAGCAGAGGGAAAACAGCTTAAAGTATGAAGCATCAATTTATATTTCTTTTATATTATTTAATATTTTATGCTCTTTTTCTGTATTTTTATGGCCGTCCTTCAAGGAAAGATTTATCTTTCAGCTACCTAGAAAGGATTGATAACCTTCTATTGGCGGTTGACTCTAGAGAGTGGTGTTGCATTCATTGATCAGCCTTCTTCTAGTGTGTTAACGACATTACATAGCCGATGAGAACATTGGAACCTCAGCAGGCTTATTGATATAGCTAAAGAGTGGAACATAAGTTGATTTAGATTGGAACAATTTAGGTAGGGTTAGATTTCATTGATAATATCTCAAATGGCTCCTTGATGAGTGCAATCATTTTGTAGACAATGGGAAAACTCCACTAGAAAAGGCTTGGCCAACTCCTAAGAAGAATTATGTCTTTTGAGGATAGAGGTTAGACTTCATTCTAAAAATCAACCCTTATGAGTTGATCTTCCTGCCTTAATTGGTTGTAGGTGGCCTCACATTCGTAATTGCATCATTATTTGATGCCTTGAGGTCATTATAATGTACTCAGAGGTAAGAAGCCACCCAAAATTGTTTCTATGATAGAGGAAAATCTGCACTGTGCTCTCAAATGCCTATTCAATCCAGGTAGGCTAAAGAAATCCAAGTCCTCAAAGGAATAACCTACTCAACTGTATCAAAAAGATGTCATTTAACTCTATGACATTAAGCCCAAAATCATGACAACCTCACCTTTAAGAGGCAAACGAACAGGATGGCATTCCTAATTTCTCTTATTTTTATTCCCATTCTATATTTTCGCTATTTTAAGATTGTTTGATATTTTTATATATTTTTCCTAAATGAGAAAATGAGATTTTGTATTTTGAATGTTGAAAAATGCCTTGGGAATGTTTGGAGACACTTGTAGCTTTTACTAAAATCTAGGACTTAATATGAATTATGGATTTTTTAAAGACTTAAATTTGTTTTGAATTTTCCAATGTATTTTTGTAATATGAGAAAAGTGTAAATTCAGTCCAAATTCAAGCCATTCAAATAACACTTGATGGAAAAAAACCTTGGCAATTGCGTAGACCTATATTGATGCCATTACGAGTGACTTGGATGGCGCAAATTCAACCATAAAGCAGTACTCTTTTAAAATTATTCAAGAACCTTATGCAAAATTCAAAATTCTAACACCAATCAAAGATGGTGTTGAAGTAAGATTGACTGATCATGTATTGCAACCAGAATGTCATGCAATAAAAACACAAGTATTGCAAACTCAAATCTTCCTTTCCTTAAAACAAAGACTAAGATAAACAAGACAACAATATTATTAAAAACAAAGACACACTACAACTTATAAAAAACTTAAGAAGAAGGATACATGTGGAGTGGAAACTGTGGAGAGAAGAAGTAGGTAGAAGTCCAAGATGAAGTAGAAGTATGATAGAAGAAGTTAGCTCGCAAGCTAGATAACCCGCATGTTATAAATTCCAAAATTAATGCATATCTCACTAAAAAAGCAGCAAACAACACCTAAATAGGGAAAAAGAATACAAACAGCCTCCCACAAGTGCCACCCAAGCATCCAATCAAATCAGGGAAAAAACCCAAAGAACAAGGCATAACCAGCTCAGGAACCGAGCAGCCTAGCATCCCAACAGCCAGCCTAGGAACCAAACCGTCAGGAAACCTAGCAGACACCAAGGAAAGGCACGGCCAACCGAGGAACCGAGCAGCTAGTCAACCCAACCACCAAGGAGAGGCACGACCAGCCAAGAACCAACTAGCCAAGGACAAATGGGCCAAGCCCAATAGAAAAAAAAAACAACCCACCAATAAATACCCATTTGACATTTTTTTTGCCTACATCAATTCTCCCTTGGTGGAGAAATCTCATCTTCTGATGAGATTGCTTTAGAACCTCTATCAAGCGCAGACTAAGTCATATCCAACTCCTTCATTAGAGCCACAAACTTTCTTTGAATCATTTCTTTTTCCTGATTAAATTGGGCTTGAAGTTGACTCTTTCTCTTCTCATATCTTTCATCATACAAAATCATTTTTTCTTGAATTTTGTAGAGGTTGTTCTGAATTGGATCGGTAGTGATTCCTTGGGACGGGACCCATTTGCTTGTTTGAATTTGGACTTCAAGATCACTTGGCTGATTGTCCATTATATATATATATATATATAAACAAAAAAAAGAAAGGAAGATATAGGACAACCTAATGCTCTGATATCAAATTGATGCAATAAAAAAACAAGTATTGCAAACTCAAATATTCCTTTCCTAAAAACAATGACTAACATAAACAAGATAACAATATTATTAAAAACAAAGACACGCTATAACTTATAAAAAACTTCAGAAAAAGGATACACGAGGAGTGGAAACCATGGAGAGAAGTAGGTAGAAGTTCCAAGATGAAAAAAAAGTAGGATAGAGAAGAATAGCTCGCAAGCCAGTGAAAACCCAAAGGTTTCATTCTTCAAAAATTATCACATAACTCTCTCTACAAAAAAGCAGCAAACGACCCCTTAAATAGGGAAAAATGAAAACCAAATAGCCTCCCACAAGTGCCACCCAAGCATCCAATCAAAACAGGGAAAAAAACCCAAAGAACAAGGCACGACCAACCAAGGAACCGAGAAGCCAAGCATCCCAACGACCAGCCCAGGAACCAAACCGTTAGGAAACCCAACAGACACTAAGAAAAGGCACAACCAGCCCAGGTACCGAGCAGCTAGTCAACCCAACAGCCACCATAGAGAGGCACGGCCAGCAAAGAACCAAGCAGTCAAGGACAAATGTGCCAAGCCCAACAGAAGAAAAAACAGCCCACCAATAAATACCCATTTGACTTTTTTTTGCCTACATCAGAATGTGTCACATGTCAAAGTGAGTCCATTGCTAATATTATAACTGGCATGACATGCAATTTAGCATGAAAACTGGCACAATGAGTCAATTTGCCGATGTGCACACCCTTGATTTGTCATGTGATAAACATACAGACCAATAAGAGGCTGACAACATTTTGTATGATTTAACTAATCATGCTAGTTTGAAGACCACATGTTACACTCTGATTGGTCCATAGATTGCTTTTAAAATCATGCAAGTTTTGACCATTGATCAAAGTTGACTTTATAGCAGGAGTTATGTGTGTACCTCACATAATTATGTGAGAGAGCTTCAACTTAGTTTTGGGATGTGTAATTGCACATGAAAAATTTGTATTTTTGCAGGAAGAGAGAAATAAAATATGTTTATTGTATGCCATAATTTCACATAAACCATGACTAATTAGTTTGAACACCATAAGTCACACTCTGATTGATCCATATGTTTATCATGTCAGTTTTGACCATTGATCAAACTCGATTTGTATAGTGGGAATGAGTAATTATGGGAATGTGTATTACATGTACCTCACATAATTACGTGAAGGGAGAGATTCAACTTGAGTTGGGCCTGTGTAATTACACTTGAAATTTTTTTGTTTGCTGGAAGAGAAATAAATTATGTTTAGTTTATACCACAATTACACCTAAACCTTGAGTAATTATGTGTGCTTCATGATCTTCTATCTTGGTGGGGGATGTAATAGCACAAAAGCAAAGCATAACTATGCATCTTGTTTTACTGTTCCCTACCAAGGTGTCACATAATTATGCGTAGAGGTACATGTAACATTTTATTATGCAAGTATGGGGTTTACCACATTTGGATCATGGAATGCCTTCATAACATTTTTTTTTATCTAACACTCATTGTTAGTACAAACAACGTTGGATGAGCTTTGCTTTACCATCCTCTCGATTCACCCGTGTCTATTCTAGTTCATCAGCAATGTCTCAGTGGTAACAAGTTCACCGATCAAATCAAAGATTATGAGTTTTATGTTTATGGTGTCAGAACGTCGTTATATCATGTCTTTTATTTTTACCAAAGTTTGAGTCAATGACAAGTACTTTCTCAACACTGCCGAACGACACTAATGTTGTGAGGTGAAATTAGTCCAAGTCTTAAATTTTTGAAAATTTCATCAATGACACTTCTGCATATCAGCCCATGATACGGTGTAATCAATGTCGCTAAGGCCTCCCACGAACACCGTGAAAGTATGGGTAATACCTAAAGCACTTAGTATGGTAGTGCCTAAAGCACTTAAAGGCAAATTTGCGTCTAAACCATGTCAAGAAAGGCCAGTATAGGTGATGCATAAAGCATCAAAGTGAAGAAAGCCTCCCCAACCCAGCTAAGAAAGGCAAGTGGGATGGGCGCCACTATGAAAACTTAAGGAAACCCCTTCAAGTGAACGACTAGTGACCTAAGGCAACAACGAATATAGGCTTATGGAGCCCATACTTGAAACCTTTAAGCTATAGTTAAAGATAAAACTTTGTGTTTGTTTTTTTCATTTTTATCAAATTATTTTGGTTTCCCTCTCTTTTTTCCCATTTTCTACTTTTATTTTTATTTTCATGTCTCACCTTTTTTCTCCCTCTCCCTTTTTATGTTATAAAAATTTTGCAAAGCGTGGAGCTCTAAACTTCAGTTTACTGAAGTTGAATTTGTGATTGATTATTTTCAATAACCCTAGAAGTAGGTTTGCATACAGTTTCACTTCTTCCTAATTATAATCAATAATCAACCAATAGTAATAAGTATCATCTCTTAAAAAATGACATATTTTAATGAACAGACTTTAACCATCAAAACACCTACGCTAAGTAAAGGAATCATCTATTCTAATAGAAAAATTATCATTATGCAGATCAAGAACCTAAGCCTATCAAAGCCAATTCAAAGATGGCAAGAGTTCCCACTCAAATTATGTTTGCTGAAAGGCAAGGATTGTAGTTTCATGATTTAGCCATCCTCCAACTCTTTTGATTCACTATCCCTGTTCATTATTCATTCACATTAGCCTCAGTGAACTCAGGATCGGGAATTGGATATTGATACTACAACTAAAGCAAGATGCTACTAGCCATGGGAATTAACAGTGAATTTGCTTGAAAAAGGAACCCATGCACATCCTGTACTCTGCCTTAGGATGTAATATGATGTAATAGTTGACAAGAAAAAGAACAACCAAAAGCTTGTTCAACGAGTCTACTTAACCCAACACAATGCAAAAAATATAACAGATCTCATACATGAGAACGGAAAGAACAACTGATGATACCTTTCACCTTTGTTATTTAATTAAAATTAAATAAATATTTACATCAAGACAAATAGATACTAAGCTGAAGCCCTACCATCTTTGGGTTTTCATAGTGAATTGCTCCACAGACTGTGCAGACTGCTCTCATCTTCTCATCTCCATCAGGTATCACTTGCTTTGTTCGGCCCCCACAAAACTGGCAAAATATATCTTTTGGCTTATGCGCCTACAGAGATTATTAGCACTAAACATCAAAACTGTAGGCATCAAGAATTTACCAAAGTATTTTTAATCCAATTATAAACTCTACTTACATGCCTAAACGGTAATAGTTGTAAGAACATAAAAATAATTTATCCAGCTTCTCGAAAGTAAAATTCCAAAGTTGAAAGCCGCAAAAGCCGCAAACACACTCATGTTTCAAGCAAAAACGGGGCTAGAGATGGTCCCCAGAAAATGCCAAGCAAGGGCATTGTGCAACCACCCAAATAGCCATAAAACACATCATATTCTGCTATTCTCGAATAGCGGAGAAGCACTCGAGCTTTTAAAAGACAGAATCCAACGGTTATCAAAGAATCGCGACTCTTCAACCAGATTTTAAAGAGAAAAATAAAATCCATGCCCCCCAAGAGTACATAATCAGAAATCCCAAAAATAAAGACAAAATCAAAAGTATGAAAAAGATTCTTACGTAATTCTCCACTGGAGACGCTATCGCCGGCGCAGCGGCCGCTTCTCCGCCTGTATACGAATCCGAGCCACTGGAAGATACCTGCAAAGCCTTAATGCCAATACTGTATCTAGGGAGCAAGGACACGGAGAACTGCCGAGATTGGGGAGATGAGGTAATGCTCGAATCGAAAAGAGGAACAATCTTGGGTAAAGATATAGAGCAACGAGGGTTCCACCGCCGAAATGGAGATGCATTAAATCCTAATAGAAGATTGAGAGATCTCAGCATCATTGTTGCGTAGTTTCTTCCACTTTCTTCGGCGATGGTCGTCGCGGAGCTGATCTCGAAGAAGTTTCACAGAAACTAGTGGCCCGTGGCCATGGAGAATCCCAAAGACTGAGCGGATCAATGCCTCGCCTTAACAATTTATTTTGTTGAGAAATTTAGTCAATTGAAAATTAGAAAAATATAATTATTATTTTGTCAAATGGATTAAAGATTCCGGTTCACAGTCCTAGCTAAAGTTAGGGCATCTCTAACCAAAAATCTCATCTTTCACTTCAAAATACAGTAGAATTGAAAAATGTTGTGATTCATCTCCAATCGAACGTCATTTTACCCCGCAATCGTCGTTCACGCCTTTCTTCTGCAAGTTCAATAGAGACCAACAAAATAGCGCAGATGAACAGTGCAACGCCAATATTGACATCACACTATTCATCCGCAATCAAATGACGGTCGGTTGGAGCAAAGCAAGAAAGGCAAACCATTGGAGTTGCCCTTAGGGCTATTCAAATTCAACTCATTTAATAAACAAATAAAAAAGATAAATTCAAACCCCCCGTTAACAATCCTAATGATAATGAATTGAACAAAATGTAATAATGTGAAAAATGGGATATGTATTAATAGTTGAAAATTTATCAAATCAAAAACTTAAAAGAGCAAGCTAATATATAAAAAAAAATCAGTCATTGCTTCCTAAAGTTTGATTTCTAATGTTCTCATTATTTTTTCTATTAAATCATGCAGGTAGCATGAGAAGCAAAAATTAGAGTTGAAATTCCTCCTCCTTGGCCCAAAAGAAAATCAAGTTATTCATAGTCTTGGAAAGGACATACTTTTAAACTGAACCTAATAGTAGTTTTTGGTAGCTGTTTCACCTATGAAATTAAGAAATTTAAGAGTATGCATAGTGGCCCGCTGACTAGGCAATTGGCCACTCAATAGTAAAATAAATAAATAAATAAATATGACGGGGCTTGTGCGGTGGCAGAGAGTCAGTTGCCCAATGAACGAGTGATTGACTCTACTTTTCAATTTTTTCATTGTATGCGAGCTTGCCTTCATCCACTACTAATAAATCAGGTTTTCACATCACTCTTTATAACATACTGCAGCAGTTTAAATACCTACTAATTTATTTACAGTGATTTAGAAATCGCTGCAAATCTGCTGTATTTGTGTTTGCTAGAAAGGCTTTAGTAATGATTTCATAAGTGTTGCTGCAGGAAGGCTTTAGTAGTGCTTTTAGCATGAGCTAAAATCGTTGCTAAAGGGCAGCACAGATTAAAAAAAATATAATGCCAAAAAATCAAATTTTGTGATCAATTTGTAAATATCGATAAAATAATATATAAATATAAATTGAGTGAATATTATCAACATATAAATCAATTGTTAATTGTGGTTCAACCTTATAAAACTAACAAGCAAATCAATAGCCATATAAACTAATAACAATAAGAAAATACAATCAAATTCACGTACAAAAAACTCAACAAGTTAAGCACTTATCATAGATATTTAACAACCACAACAACGGGAATAGGTGTAACAACCACATCCACTACAAATATAAATATACAACAGTCATATAAAAGAATGATTAGAACTTCAAAGAGCTTCGATGTCATATTCAATTAGCATCAACATTATCATTACCAACTCTGAGAATGAAGTCTTTATTGGGTCAACTTTGTGGTGTCGGATAACCCTATATAATTGTAAAAGAAGTAATATAACAGTTAGTGAATTTATAAAAAAAAAACACAGAATGAATAAATAAAAATCAAGTTAACACAACAAACCTCCGGCATAATTTCAATGAAGATATCAAATCTTTCACCATACATGCTGTGAAAAGAAAGAAAAAAAAAATAATGTATTTTCATTAGTTGAAGTTAACTTTAAATCTATCATTTAAATAAAGCGGAAAAATAATATAAGGTTCATGTTCTGCCATGTTTTTTAGCTTGAGGCCTACAAAGTTGAAAACATTAAAAATAGTTCTATAGGAAAAAAAAATACAACAAAAGAACACAGAGCAATAAATAGAGCTAAAGTATTTACTTTGAATGAGATTGCTTCGATAAGACTCCACAACAACAGGAAAAATTATTACATCCGGTGAAAATACCGAGCAATATCGAGCATACCGAGTGTACCGAGCGCGCTGTACCAAGCACTTTAGTGACGCGGCGTTTTGTTATTGATTTCCGGATGCATTCGGTAACCTGACGGAATAATTACTCCCACAACAATGATGGAACCTAAATGAAGATGAAGAGGCCATGGAGAGAGATATTCATTGATGAAAAATATAGAAGTTAAGAACTTAAGCTTATTGAGAACAGTGTCACTGAAATTTGCTAGTTGGTCAATTAAATTAATTAAGAATATATGATTGGAATTCAACTTTACTATATATGATTGGAACTTAAGTTTATTATGTTGCCTTGTAATAAAAAAATTATTTATTTATTTGTTAACATGGATCGTCATTGTTACAGTTATGCTCAAGAACATATAAATGTATAGTATAAACTTAAGATTCAATTGTGTAAATGGTTGGAACTATTATTGTCGACTCATGGATTAAGGTACTTTTAACGTGATTATTACAATTTATTAAGGTACTTTTAGTTTTTAGTAACACTATTCAAAACTGTTTGATTAAAGAGAAAGAAATTTCTATTTAGATTGAACATTATTTAAAGAGGAAAGAACGTGTAGAGAACGACTTGACCGATCTCTTAGCTGATCATGGACTTCAATGTTCAATATGGAGTTACGATGTGAATGATATGAACAAAATTCAAAGAAATTATCTTTCGAAGGGACCCCATCAACCGAAAACTCATCAATTTCCTCAAACATTAATTGGGAATAATACACGCATGTTTAACCCTAAATGGTTTGAAGAATATGTTGATTGGCTAGAGTACAACGAACATAAAGTTGTTATTTTCTATTTTTGCTACTACCTATTCAAGCCTCAATAACAAATTAGGAAATGACAAGCTGGTGGAGACTCATTTATTGGGGAAGGGTTCAGAAATTGGAAGAAGAAAAAATATTACTTGGTCATGTTGGGGAGCATAATAGTGAGCATAACAAGACAAGACAAAAATGTCAAGATTTATTAAAGAACCAGAAACACAAACTTCCTGTGTTATGGTTGAGCAAAGATGAAAAAATAAAAAAAAGACTACATGGTCATGTTAACAACTGTAGTAGATTATGTTCGATTTATCTTACATCAAGGATTATCATTTCCTATGCATGACGAGTCATCCAGGCCAATTAATTGTGGATATTATTTGAAGCTTCTTGATTTCCTTGCTAACCATAATGATGAAATTAAAAAGGTTATGTCTATATATATAAGCTATAACGTAAAGTTAACTTCAGCAAAAATATATAAAGAGATTGGTGATTCCTTGATTTGTTCTGTTGTTGCTGCTGAAACTTTAGCACATATTATGAAAGAAATTGGTGGCTCATACTTCTCAAACATAGTCAATGAATCTAGCGATGTTTCTACAAAAGAACAACTTGTTATTGCACTGAGATATGATAACAAGTTGGGACAAGTCATAGAAATGTTTATAAGCATTGCACATGTCACTTCAACTCCGACAAGCTTGCACCTTAGTACTATCGTATTCAAGGTTTGTCTTGAGGGATGTTTTTGGAAGAAGAAGTTCTCTTTGGTGTTAAAGGACCCGGCTACTTCGCCGCATATACATATATAATTTATATTTTAATATAAAACAAAAATATATTTGGTATCCTGAGGCCTATTTGAGATCACTTTTATTTTATTTTTGCTTTAAAGAAATATGTTTATTTAGTGTATTTTTTAACTTATGTATTTTTTATTTTTAAAAATAAGTCAAAACTAAAAAAAAAAAAGAAGCAATGAGGTATTTTAAGCATTTTGATAAATCAACTATCACCACTAGGCTAAAAAAAAATATCACCAAGTCTGTGTCATTGTATCCGTTAGTGCGGTCTGTGACCACTGCTACCTAATAATGGCAGCAGTTGAAGTTGATTTGAGCTCAGAGGATTCAGAAAAAGCTCCAACTCCGAAGTTTTTGGCAGAACAGTTTCAGCGACCGAATCTACAAACTTGGATGAAGTAAACTCAAGAGAAGCCATCCAAAATGAAATTAATGGAGGTTTTCCATTATTCTCTTCTTTGTCTTCTTATGAAGAAGCTGTTAACTCAGCAACTGAAGATGGAATGATTCCTCTACTCGGGAAAATTTATTAGGTGCGGAGTGCGCACCGTCCGCACAGATATTGGGTGTCTAACGGTATCCAGCGGTACTCAGCAGTAACGAGTGCGGGTACTGCTAGGTACCCAATGCTTGTGCGGACGGTTCTCCCTGTCCGCACTCCGCACCTAATAATCTCTCCAATTCGATGGGATTTACGTATGGAATATGGCAAATTTTCAGTTGATAACACCATCAGAGCTTTTGCTTATAAAAAGATTTTGCTCAGAATTTAATAAACATCAAAGGCACAAAATGTGGTTTGAGAGAGTTAGGCTTTCAATTTGGGATGTCTATTTTTTTCTCTTGCTTCTTAAAGGAGTTTCCCTATTATAAAATTCTTAAAGGAAAGCTGTTTAAGAAGCAATAAGAAAAGCATCTCAAACGAAACTTAATGTATTTGGATTCTCAGAAAGCTTAAATGCGGTGAGGAGAAGGAAATGAAACATTAGGTCACGGAGAACTTATTTTGGAGTAATAATAATGTTGTGAATGATTGAGAGTACGTTTTGTTTGTGATGTTTTCTTGTTGTTTTTTTAAAGAAATTTTTTAGTATAATTTTTTTTTTTCTGCTAAAATAACTCTGCTTTATGAAAGCAGTAAGAAAGCTTTTTCAATGAGTGTAAACCTGCAAGGGTTATAATGCAATTACAGCAGATGCTGGAGCATATAACTAAGTACAGATGAACATGTATGCAATTCAGATTAATAGAGAGCGGTCTTTGGCTGCTGGCTTTAGAATTTCTTGGCGCAGCGCACCCTTTGGCTTAGCGCGACTTCCACGAAAATACTCTGCCATCGAGAACTGGAATAAAAGGCAAAAAAAGGGGAATAATAAGT